GCTTTCAAAATTGTCTCTTCCTGTACTTGATTATTCACTAATAAGTCCAGTACTTGAACTTCTTTGCATGAAATTACACAAAGTTTACTTTAAGTTTTAGCCCAAAGTTTTCAGACCATCTTTCCCAGGGGTCAACCGTACTCGGTATCATCTGAGACTTAAATTAAGGGTATCCTCTCCTCCACTATTTACTTAAGGAAAGATAAACTAATAACTTGCACAGGATGAATCCTGGAAAAAAATTCCTAATGTTTCCCTTCAGTTTGGACACAGACCACTGCTAACTATTCTAAGTACAGTTTTCCAATCAGTAGGAAACTGGGCAACAAAACTACTCTCTCATATAAAATTTATGAAGCATATTATATAACTAGAAAGCCCTGGCTTCAGGCTGTAACCTTCTCTGGAAACGTCTGTTCACTATTTTGCAGAAAACTACAGTAATGCTTCCTTCAGAATATATTAACAATGCCTTATTTTAGAAGCTGAGTAGTGCATTTTCCAAATATATCTGGATTGGGAACACAGGAAGTTAGAAGAACACAGTATTGTCCAAGTGAAATCATTTACTGAGTAAGATGTTTGAAACACCACAGAGGGTGTTGTGTTTCAAAAAAATTTTTCAAGGAAAAAAAGCCTTTGAAGTGGTTAATATATGACAAATATTGCTGCTCTTGGAGGTTGAAATTTAACATACCTGGTCCTCCCTTATTGAGAACTGCCATATAAAAAACAAACAAACAAACAAAACACAACCACCACTCAAAGGATTGTCATTTTAATCAGTGAAACTTTGTGGGGGTTCTGGACATTCAATCCAAATAGTAAAACTCGATTCCAGCAAAACTCAGAATTGTGAGTTGGAAAAAATAGCACAAGTTGTACTTCAAGGGGAGGGGTTCATTGATAAGTATTTGAGTCTTAAAAAGATTGCTTAATGTTCACAATTAATAGCACAGAACTTTATGTATCTTAATTGAAAGCACTTATCAGGCCCACCTAACAGTATAATTTATACATTAGCTTTAATAATCCATAGAAGTATGGGAATTTTTTTCTTGGTTTTTGTTTAGGGGTTGTTGACACATGAGTTTTTTGGGTTTTTTTAAGGCTAGCAGGAACCACAATCAGTCAGTTCAAGCATTTACTCGTGTACTTTCGTGTTTCAAATTAAAAATGTCATTGCAAGATATAGTTTTCTTAAGCTGAACAAAATCTATGAGATTCTATCTTTTATGGCATATGGAAGTATAAAGGTATCAATACAAATCAGTGCAAGTTTTTTTTCTTAAAAGCTGTTAACACTATAGCTATTCACCCAACTGCAATATTTAGATATTTCATCCCTTAGATAACTTAAATACAATATTAAAGACATTGCTCAAAGTATATAAAAAATTGGAAATATATATATTATCAATTTTTCTGCTTCTCTACCTCGTCTATAATGCAACACAATAAATTTGAAATTAATTAGATCAAGCCTTCAAAGCATTAAAGAACTCTAAGTAAATTCCTCATTTAAGAACTTCTAAGGCATTCATTCAGACCCTTGGTCAAAACAAAAAGATTAGCGAAATACTTCCTGTAAAAGGCTTAAAATACCATATCTTTGAAAAACCTAACTTTCTTTTTGAGCTTTACTGCAGATTATAGACAATTTTTTTTGTACTATTCAGTCCCATCAGCCAAATGGGGCGATTAGAGGCAAAAGTCTGGACCATCTGAATCTTTTTGTACCAGACCCTTATTTCCCAGCTCTACATTCAAATTTCTTAGGCTGATTCAAAGGCTATACCTGAACACTATACAGAGAGAGTAGCTAGGCTGTGTTTTGTCCTCAGGTGTTCAGTATAAAAGTTTCTCAGATGAATGTCATAAAATAAGCAACACTGTAAAAAACCATGTCAAAACCTTAAGAAAATAAAGCCCAACATGCCTTCACTGTATTACACATGAAAATTTCCCCCCATCACTTCTCTCAGGGAAATATACATTTTATTGGCACATACAGCTCCTTTTCAGAACAGAGAAAATGTTCACATGTCACACCAACCCCCCTCACCAAGAGTATCATAATTACACTTCGTTGTGCAGTTTGTCTTCCATCATGATACTCGATCTCTAGTAAAGTAACTATACTCTGCCTTTTCCTGCAGGCAGCCTGATTCATTCAGTATACAGAATAACCTGCTACATTTTTGATAGCTCATCATGCAAACTCACGAGATTCTTTTAATACATATTTTTTGATATGCCTATTTATTTAGTTATTTTCAAAAAGCTAGCAACATTCAAATTTATCCACTTGTACAAAAATCAGGGCTGGAATTTTTAGATTCAATGAACATCTGACAAAACTGACAAGCACAACAAAAAGTTCTTTGATTAATTGATAATCAATTTGATTAACTATCATATCAAATTGATATTTTAATCAACTTGTTATGACAGCAACATCAATTATAATGCATTTAGTCATCTTGAACATTTTAAATTACATTTCTGAACCCTTACAAACATAAGTATTGTTGATTTATTGGGTGGTTTCACCCCACAAAAAACAGTGAGTATCCTGAAGAGTTTAGCATAAACCCAGAGTGTCTTCTATCAAGTCAAGACTCTTTGGATAAGATGATTATAGCACCTTTTCTTTAACCCTTACCTGCATTCCTTCGACTTCTTCTATTATGCTGTAATTAGAAATAGGAACAAAAGTCAGAATAATCTTAGAATAGTAGAATTAGTTTAATCATTGCCTTTATTTACTTTGGTATATTCCATAACTAGACACTTCTTAAATAAGCATTAAATTTCCCTCAGATTTCCCATGGCCTTGCCAGAATAGCCACAAGTACAGAGTAAAAGTTGCCTGATCATTCACCTTTTTCTACACTGTTGCTGTTAAAATCAATACAAGAACATAACATTGGCCCACATAAGAGGCTAAGACAGAGAATTTCTCTTGCAGTCCTTAATGGACTTAGACAGTAAAGCTGTGCAGCAATGCTTAGCAGTTTATGCACAAGGTATTGACATGGGTGGAAAGGAGGGGGAATCATAAATACAGCCCCTTTTTTGTCTCCATTAAATCCACTCTTTTTCCCTAAGACTGAATTTCATTCCTCACCCCCTCACCCTGTGGGGTTCAGAACAGCTCCTGTGTAAACTACCAAGGCACACTACAGAGGTAGTGCCTTTAGCCTGACACAGTGAGTGGTGAGACTGCAAAGATACCTCAATTACTTTAGCATTATTTTACAGGGAAAAAACCAAAAAAGAACGTAAAGTTGAAACCAGGAAGCCCCGAGGAACTGAAGAGCTGATTACCTGAACAGAGATAAATTGATTCAATGACAACCTTCTGATGAGATCCAAATGTACGTGTTCCCAACAGCAATTTAAAAAAAAATAAATTTTCCTGGTTTACTAGTTGTGCTAACCACCGATAGATGGTCATCTATTTTAGTCTATATCATCTGAAAATCTTAACCAAACTATCCTAAATCCCTGTTATAAAGCAGATGTTGACCTCATTCATTAATACCTCTTAAAAATATTACATGGCACAGCAAGATTAGAATATAATACTAAATATATATATATAAAAATATATATCTTTATATAGAAATATTGCTGCATTTTGACTGCATAGTAGGTCTATATTATTAGATACCTTAAGTATTTCCTTTCTCCATTTTTTAATATTCTTGGTTGACACATTTCCCCATTTTTTTGGTCCTAGAAATAGCAAGAAATATCAATATTAACACCATCCATACCAAACATCACTGTAATAGACATAAATATTTAAGAACATATGACACAGTAACAAAACATTATCAAATCTGAATAGCCTCCAACACAATTGCAGAAATAAAAACTTAAGAGGAAAACAAACCAAGAGAATACGGTAATTTCAAGTTAATTGTGAGGTCAGGCAAGGAAAAAAAAAAAAAAATCAGACGCACTGAGTCTGAAAACCCTGAGCTAAAATTCAAAGAGCATTACAGACAAATTCTTTTACTTTTTAGATTTCATCTAATGAATGCAGACTACATGGTATGTGAGGTTACTTAAAGCCATAATGAAGGCTTTACAAGACTGAGGTTCATATTAATTCCATATTGAATAGAGGTTACTAAACCAAAAGCATAACCAAGCTTTTACCAATTCAAAACTGTTTATTACAGTGCTGTATGAATGTTTCCTCCCTCTCCCAGTGCAAGCTTCCCAGTCTGTAAAAGCCCTTGGTGCACTGTTAGTACTTCCTGTGCATGTCCAGTAAGTCCTACTCTACAAGAATTAATAAGGCAATTTACATAGCATAACCCTCATGTCAGTGACAATAAAAACTGGCAGAACACTTCATTTCCCAGTAAAGTCACCAAGATCTTAAGTCACAAGTCCCACTAAAACCTTGAGCAACATATTTTAGAACAACAGGTTTTTTCACAATAAGCTTTCCATAAGCATTATCTCTCTAATGGATCAACCATTACAATGAGATGGCCCAACATGGTATAGATTTATGCTGGCCACGTGGGAGCACTCAATGAAAAGTTAAAGATACTAACTTCCTAGTCCACCCTGACCTTTGGCATAACAGAAATTTGTCAGAGCAGTATTCAGAATACTGAGTGGAGATAAAACTACAGAATCCATTCATGCACATCAGCTCCTGCTAATATTTCCATTCCTTCCGTTGTCTTCTCCATTTTGATTATTCTTCTTACAAGCCATCCAAACATAAACCATTTTTATCCTGAACTTTCCTAATAACTCTCTTCTTTCCTAAAATGGAGCAAGCAATGGACTGAAATGGCACACAAAAGTAAACTCTTAACACATGTACCAAAATTTACATATGAAATGCCTTACCTAAGTGAACAAAACTGAATATCTGTTGCACTTAAAGGTTCTACAGCTGCCAACAGTTGCATTCTTTAGCAAGTCTAAACACACAGCATATAAATATTGAAGCTTTTAGAAGTTCTTACCATCAGGAGTATCATAAGTGAGAGTTTCCATGGAAACAAGGTAATCATCTTCAAAAGGATGATTATACTAAATAAAAAGGACCATTAAATATTAGAATAAATGACTAAAGTGACGGTTTTAACACACATGATAACAATTGTTTTTAGGACAATTTGTTTTTATCCAAACCAAGAAATTATCAGTGCGCTGGTTTATTGGCCAAAGTCAGAAGTTGGCAATTTGGAAATATAGGATTCCTAGGGGAAACAGGTATATTTTAAGCATGTATGCAGGCCACTCAATTCCAAGGCATAGCCAGGAATGACAAAAACGGGCATCAGAGATTTCTCAAAAGTGGTTCAGTTCCTCTCTTACAGTTTCCTCCAAACTTGGTCTGTAGTAGCTGAAAGCAGCCCCATAGAGCTACAGCTCACGACACGTAAAAATATCCAATCCGACACGCGACGAGGAAAACGTCCTGGAGCCAGACCTGGCCACGTGCCAGCCCAGGACGTTTCCCTGCCCAGGGAAGCTTACACCCCTGGGTAAACACACGCATCTCCGGG